TTGCATATGAGCAGTTGATGGTCTGTTCCACAATCAGCTCCTGGCCTGGTTTTGCTGAAGATATTGAGCTTTTCCATTGCATCTTGCCACAGATGTAGTCATTCTGATTCCCGTGTGTTCCATCTAGTTAAGTCCACGTGTAGAGCCTCCGTTTGTGTTGTTGAAAAAAGGTGTTTGCAATGAACAAGTTGTTGGTCTTGCAAAATTCTACTGTGTGAGTTCCAGCATTATTTCTGTCACCAAGGCCAAAATTTCCTGTGCACCATGTGCACCCCCTGGGTTTGAAATACCAGTGACCCAGCCTCAAGACTCACAGCAACATGTCACCATAGTAGGACAAACTGACAGACAATTTAGTCTGCCTAACCTGTTGGAACCTCTTCAACCACCCTCACCTGGATCCCTGAGGCTGACTCCTTGATCTGTTCTGGTCCCCTTTGCCTTTTCTGTCTTCTCCCTGCTCTCCTTCTTCACTGCTTGTGGGGCATGGCATGGGTTCCTCTCCTCACTTGGATCCCTGCAGTTGACTCCTTGATCTGTACCGGTACCCTTAGCCTTTTCTGTCCTCTCCCTGGTTTCCTGCCTTGCTGTGTGTGGGACGTGGCCTGGGATCCCTCTCCTCACCTTGATCCCTGCCACTTACTCCTCAATCTGTTCCAGTCACCTTTGCCTTTTCTGTTTTCTCCCTACTTTTCCACATTGCTGCTTATATAGAGAGAGAGACAGAGATATTTATCTTAGGAAAATGGCTCACACACTTATAGAAGCTGGCAAGACCAAGTTCTTGGATCAAACGTCAAGCTGGAAAGTTCAGCAAGACAGAAAATAACAAATGCTGGCAAGGTTGTGGAGAGATTGGGACTCATACACTGCTGGTGGGACTGTAAAATGGTACAACCATTGTGGAAAGCAGTGTGGTGATTCCTTCAAAAGTGGGAATTAGAAATACCATTTGACCCAGCCATTCCATTACTAGGTATATACCCTAAAGAAGTGAGAGACATGACAAGAACAGATATATGCACACCCATGTTCATCACAGCACTATTTACAATAGCCAAAAGATGGAAACAACCTAGGTGTCCATCAACTGAAGAATGGATAACTAAACTATGGTACATACACACAATGGAATACTATGGAACGCTAAAGAATACTGTAGAATCTGCAAAACACCACATAATGTGGATGAACTTGGAGGACATTATGCTGACTGAAATAAGTCAATCACAAAAGGACAAATATTGTATTAGTCCGTTATTGTAAAAATTAAGGAAAGGTTTATCTATAGAAGGACATTCTCTTTGTTGGTTACTGGCGGGGGTGGGGGTGGGGAAGGAAGGCTGTTAGATAGATAGAGATAAGTATTGATTTGGGTGAAGAGAAGGGCAATGTACCAAATGTGAGTGACCAATATGGCAGCATTGAGGATGAGAAAGACATAGAGAGGTACATGGGAGGTACAGACAACAAATTGAACCCCTTTGCACATACAGTACTGCATTGTCAGTGAAGGCAAATATGGGTATATGGTGGATAGATGGGTGAGCAGGCTAAATGATTAGGTATGTCTATGAAATGGGGAGGGTAACCAAGAACATATATAGTGTTGGCAGACAATGGTCCTATAAGTCTATGTGACTGATCAGAATTCCCAGGTGTATAATAGAGCTGACAAGGGGCAAGGTTGTGGTCACAGCCAGCTACCCAGAGGGACCGAGTAGTTGAACCTGTGGGCTTAGGACCATAGTCGCAGGGGACATCAAACTCAATCGGCATAACATACTATACAAAACATTGTTCCACCTCCTACTTTTGTGAGTAGTGACTGGGATCTTAAAAGCTAGCAAGCTGCCATCTAGATGCAACGATGGGTCTCTCCTCATCCAGAGCAAAGAAGAATGAAGAAAACCAAAATTAATGGAAACAATTAGTCCTAGAGACTGGTACACCATCCTATCTGCAGCATATACAGCTATGAGACCAGAAGAACTAGATGGTGCCCAGCTACCACTGTCATCCACTTGGAAGGGGATCTATGTAGGAGACCCTTGATAGAGAGGGAGAACAAATGTGGAACAATACTCAAAATCATTTGGAGAAAAAAAAAGTGGGGACCAGGTTTGCTGGTCTGATAGAGCCTGGTGAAACCACTGAGACTATGGCCTCCAGCTGCCCTTCAGGTCTGGAATTGAACCACACCTGTGGTTTCCAGCCAAAGTACAAGCATATGAGTTGAACATTTACCTCAAGTAGATACACTCCTTGGAGAGAACAATCATGGGAGAAAGATGGGCTGCTTATGCACAGGGAGACAGGCTCAAGGGGCAGGAGTGTATGGAGGGATGGACACTGGGAAGAGGTAACTATGGGGAGGAAGTGGGAGGGGAGCTGTTGCTTGGTAAACTATGGTCAATGACATGAGACAAAGTATATGTGAACCGCCTCATGGAAAGTGAATTTGCCCTGTAAATCTTCACCCAAATCACAATTTAAAAAAAAAAATTTTTTTTTCAAAGTCATCATCCTAGAATTTACAAAAAATGAAACATATTCTTATCAATGAACATTTATATAGTCATAATGATATAAATAATAAATATTAATACAAACAAATTTTGTGATAGAATAGATTGGAGAAATGGAGTGATGGGGAGTGTGTGTGTGTGTGTATGCTTATTTGTCTATGTGTGCATGTATTTTGTAAGGGTTCACTAGTGCAGAAGTAAATAATCATCATCCTTAGAAAAATGTCATTAGTCTCTAAACATGATAAATCAAGAAACAGAAATAGAGTCATTATTCAGAAATATGAACATACCTTTCAGAAGAAACTGGTGGAATGATTCAGAGTGATCACCTTGAGAATGGAGGAAATTGAACCCACATAAACACATGAGTAGAGATATTGTATGAGTAGTAGAAATTGTGTGATAGAATACAATTTTTGAAACATCATATATTATTTTGATAGAAAATTAACATTTGATTCCTCTTTTCCTTCCTGCAAGACTAATAATTTCTTGAGCAAATTAAGAGCTGTTTACATTTTGAAACATTTTATCATTTGTCTTTGTATTAATATCCTGATGGGTGACGTATAGGTATGTACACATTTACACTGCCTACCTTGTAGGACAGTAAATGTATCTGTATTATACCAATTCTCTTGCTCCGTCTGGGAGTACTTCTGGTCATGTAAGTTTTGGTTGTAATAATGTTGGGACACCTTCAGAATGCTTCATGTAATCCAAAAGTGCTGTTGCAAATGTGCCAATTTTCTCCTTTTCATCATTTCTTACTTATATCTTAACAGCTAAAGTCCAGGAAGAGATTGACCGTGTGGTTGGCAAACACCGAAACCCCACCATGCAGGACAGGGGCAGCATGCCCTACACAGATGCTGTGCTACATGAGATCCAGAGATACATTGATCTCGTCCCCACCAACCTGCCTCATGCAGTGACCCAGGATGTTAAATTCAGAAACTACCTCATTCCCAAGGTAAGATTTGATTCTTCTACACCAAACTTCAGTGCTCTTAAAGTTCCATACTCATATTATGTTTCTATTCCCTGTCCAACCCAAGATCAAAGAAATAAAAAATAAAATAAAATAAAACAAGTGCGCAGCAGCTTGATGGATTTTGTGTTCTTTTCAATTTAGGGTTCTAAATGTTTAAAACAGGTCTTGATACCTGCCAGTATAAGTCTTCCAAATTTGTTAGGCTTCATTATGGTTGTTTTAGATAATCTTACTTGTTGATATTTCCAAATAAATTCTAGTACTGCAGCAAAGAAGTGGCTGCAGAAAGTAAGACTTTCCAGAACACCAGGTCTATGGGGAAACTGAAAAAACCACATACATATTTAGGGCAAGATGCACACTGAGAAATGGCCTGAGAAGATATTATTCTTTCACCTTGGCTGATAGCTAAGCTCAGTGCAAAGCTGCCTAAGTGCTGAAGGAGGACACCAGCACAAAGCCATGTTGCAAACACTGGGATAGCTGAACACAAGCTAAGAAACAGAAATGTACACCTATCCAGGAAGGCAGTCTTAGCAAAAACTAGCTAAGAGAAGACACTTCCCAGGCAACCCCTGGGCTATTCAGTTTTCCCGTGTCTGCTTTTTCCAGGGCACAGTCATACTAACATCACTGACTTCTGTGCTTCACAACAAAAAAGAATTCCCCAACCCAGAGACATTTGACCCTCATCACTTTCTCGATGAGAATGGCAAATTTAAGAAGAGTGACTACTTCATGGCTTTCTCAGCAGGTAATAAAGATTTATATCCATCTGTAATTAGGGAAATAAGATAACCATATGAGATCAGTTGGGACTAGCATGGTGCCCGCTCTGGGGCTGATAAAATTAGTCCTTGTACATGATCACAAGCACCACCCCCAATGCCCATATGCTTTCTTATCCATGATCCATCCTCATTATTGGGGCACAGCGATGGATCCTTGGGAATGTAACCCACTTCTACCAAAGTGAGAAAGGTAGGAAATGTGGTGATTGAATTCATCACCAAGCTACCCAATGAAAAAGCTCCTACTAGAAAGGTATGGGAACAAAGAAAGAAGGGAAGGGGTGAGCACAAAGAGGAAATAGGAAAAATGCTGTTACTGTGTGGGGATTGCAGTAAATGTCACAAAATAGAATGTGCATAGATTACTGAATGGAAAACCAATGTGCTCTGTACACTTTAATCCAAAGCACAAAAGGATTTAAAAAAAAAAAAAAACCAAAAACTTCTACTAGAAGGTGAACCACAACTCATCTGTCAGTCTCATACTGTGGAAACTTGCATAATCCTGGGATGCTGGTATTTCAAATACTAGCAGGGTCCCCAATGGTGGAAAGGTTTCAGCAGTGCTTTTAGACTAAGACAGATGAGAAAGAAGGATGTGGAGGACTGCTTCTGAAGAAAAATGGCCACTGAAAACTTTATGAAGAGCAATGGAACATTGTCAGATATAGTGCCAGAAGATGAGACCCTCAGGTTTGAAGGCACTCAAAATACGACTCCAGGAAAAGCTGCCTCCTCAAAGTAGAGCCAACTGTAATGACATGGATGGAGAAAACTTTCAGAACATTCACTTGTTGATGTGAAATGATTCAAAATAAGAAGAAAGAGATGTAAACATCCATTAATCATCAGAACATGGGACGTACAAAGTATGAATATCAGAAAATTAGAAGCTGTCAAAAATGAAATAGAACACAGAAAGATCGATATCCTAGGCATTTATGAGCTGAAATGGACTGGTATTGGCCGTTTTGAATTGGACCATTCTGTGGTCTATTATGCAAGGAATGAGAAAATGAACAGGAAATGTTGCATTCATCATCGAAAGAACATTTCGAGATCTTTCCTGAACTACAATGCTGTCAATGATAAGATCATATCCATACGCATACAAGGAATGCCAGTTATTACTCAAATTTAGACATGAACCACTAAAGTCAAAGTTAAAGAAATTAAAGATTTTTACCAACTTCTGCAGTTGAAACTGATCACGCATTCAATCAAGATGCACTGGTAATTACTGGTGATTGGGATGTTAGAAACAAAAAAAAAAATCCCACCAGAGATCACATGATAAAATTTTGGAAGATCAATGATTAATTAATTGCAAATACCTTTTGTAAACAACATAAACAGCAGCTATACATGTGTACCTCTCCAGATGCAATACACAGGAATGAAATCCACTGCATCTGTGGATGAAGGTGATGGGAGAGCTAAATATCATCAAGCAAAACAACTCCTGGGGGCCAATTGCTCATATGCAAGTTCAAGTTGAAGATGAAGAAAATTAAACAAAAATTCACAAGAGCCAAAATACAACCTTGAGTATATCCTACATGAATTGAATATAGGGACCATCTCAAGAATAGATTTGATGCATTGAATATCAGTGACCAAAGAACAGATGAGTTGTGGGATGACATCAAAGATATCATAATGAAGAAAGCAAACAGTCATTAAAAAGACAGGGAAGAAGAAAAGATCAAAATGGATAGCAGAGGAAACTCTGGAACTCACTATTAAATGTAGAGTACCTAACGTGAAATGATGAAGTGAAAGAGCAGAACAGAAGATTTCAAAAAGCGGCTAGAGAAAACAAAGTAAAGTATTATATTTGGAAGAACTAAAGTTAGAAAACCAAAGAGGAGGATATGCTTGGCATATTTCAAATGTAAAGAACTGAAAGAAAAGAAAAATCAAACCTCAAATTGTAATATTGAAGGATTTGATGAGCAAAATCTTGAACAATGCAGAAAGCATCAAAAGACAATGGAAAGTGTTCTGGTTACCTAGTGCCACTCCAACAAGAATACACTACAAATGGGATGGCCTTAACAAACAGGAGTTTATTCTCTTACAGTTTGGAAGCTTTAATTCCAAGTTCAAAGTGCCAGGCTCTAGGGGCTTGTGAAAGCCCCTCAACCTTGGGCTTCAACTCTGCCTCCTGCTCCTGACCCACTGAAGCTACAAGCATTTCTTCCCTCAGACAGCTGCTGGCTACTGAGGCTGACAAACCCAAGGTTGACAGGTAAAAAGGCACAGTTCCAATGTTACCAAACCACATGGCAGGCCATTAATTTAAGTCCACTGTAAGTCCCAAGGTCAACAGAGCATGGCAGGCTGCTGAAAAAGAATACAGCTATATGCAGGCTGCAAGCATGCCATAGGCTCAAGACCATTCCCAAAGCTGCTGTTTATATACAGGAAGCAGACCACATACCCAAAGGAGCTACTCAGCTGCTTTTGGTAGATCCCACCATGGAGTTGATTGCCAGTCTCATCATGGGGAATAACAAGAATAATAACCACCTGCTGCCCAAACACTCAACCAGGCCCAGCCAAGTTGACACACAAACATAACCACCACAGAAGGGATACTCAGAATCACTGCACCAAAAAGAACTGGTAATGTTCAACCATTTCAAGAGGTAGCATATGATAAAGAACTGATTGTACTGAAGAAAGATGTCCAAGTTGCATTGAAGGCAAATGCTCTAGGAATTAGCAGAAAACCCATTGTGATGTTTCAACAAATGGATGAAATGCTGGAAGCGCTCCCTTGTCTATGCCAAGAAATTTGGAAGAAAGTTACTTGCCAACCAACTGGAAGAAGTTCATATTTGGGCCCATTGCCAAGAAAGGTGATCCAACAGAATGTGGAAATTAGCGAACACTATCATTAACATCACATGCAAGTGAAATCTTGCTGAAAATCATTCAAAAATGGCTGCAGCAGTATATTGACAAGGAACTAACAGAAATTCAAGCCTAATTAGAAAAGGCTAAGGAATGAGGGATATCATGCCTCACATCAGATGCATCTTGGCTGAAAGTAGAGAATACCAGAAAGATGTTTAGCTGTGTTTCATTGACTACATGAAGGCATTTGACTATGTAGATCATAACAATTTATGTATAACACTGTGAAGAATGGGAATTCCTGAACACATAATTGTGTTCATAAGGACCCTATACATAGACCAAGTCATTCAAACACAAGGGGTACTGCATGGTTTAAAATCGGGAAAGGTGTGAGTCAGAGTTGTATTATTTCACCATACTTATTCAACCTGTATGCTGAGCAAATAATCTGAGAAACTGTACTGTATGAAGAAGAACAAATAATCAGGATTGGAGGAAGACTTGTTAACAACCTGGGATTTGCAGATGACACAATTTTGCTTGCTGAATACAAAGACGGATTTTTTTTTTTTTTTTTTTTTTTTTATGATGCAAGTGTGTTGGGTCGCTCTGCTGCTTTCTTTGTGGTGGTAGAATCCCTGTGTGTAGTGTGAATATGTGTTTCTGTTTGTTGTAAAGATGGTTTAGAGTTCGAAGCGGGAGGTTTTATGATAATTGGATGAATATGTTTTCTTCTATTGAGTGAGAGAAGATATTGGCAGAGAAGGTGGGAGCGGAAGAAGGAAAGTTTGGTGTTGCTAGGGTCAGTTTCTAGGGCTTTGAGCAGGCTATTTTTGATGATGTATTTATTTGCAAGACTGCAGCTCAATTCAGGAAAGATTCTTATTGTTAGAGCGTCACAAATTTCTGCCAATTTCAGGCACGCTCAAAGATCCCGCCTCCACAGCCCCACAGCCCCACAGCCCCACAGCGCTAAAGAACGGCGCCAAGGCAGAAATCCCAGGAGTGCGGTTTCTTCCCTCTCCCTGTTGGTTCTGTCCTCAGTGCTGACATAATCCCACCAGATCACTAATGGCCAGCTCTGGAGTTTGTCTGTGATACCGCCCAGCTGCAGTGCCAAAGATGCGTGCGGTTTGAGCTGTCGGTAGGGGGGTACTTGCTAGTGACCTGCGGTCCGGATCTCTGTGACAAAGAAAAGCATGAAGTCTCCCAGTCTGACCCCAGTCTACTCTGTGACCTCCTGGGAGGGAGGGAGCTACCCTTCCTGTCGCAATAGTAAGTTTTCCTCCAAATCTCAGCGGAGGTGTCCATGCCCGCAGCCAGCCCCCAGGAGACCCAAATTACCTCCAAAAAAAATCAAGATGAGCTGCTGGAGGCAGGTCTCTGCCGCTGTCCACTGGAATATTGGAGTGGTTTCTGGGAAGCTGTTATAAGGTGTCCTCCCTTCTTGCTTGGGGATCTCAGGCGGTTGCCCTAGCCCGGCGCACAGTGAGTTTCCAATGTCTGTCTTGGGTGCCTGTCCGTCCGTCCTGCTCCAGTAGCTCTTTCCCAAATAATCTGTCTGTGCCTTTTCTCTAGTTCTGCTCTTGCAAGTTTGATGTAATCTGAATCTGCTAGCTGTTCAGAGTAGTGAAATTCCTAATTTAAACTGTTGTGGCTAGTTATTCAAGACCTTAGATGCCAGAGGGATAAAGCGTGCTGCTCATTGGCTCGACTCCATTTTGAACTCCCCTGAATACAAAGAAGAATTAAAGCACTTACTGAGGAAAATCAAAGACTACAGCCTTCAGAATGGATTACATCTCCACATATAGAAAACAAAAATACTCAAAATTGGACAAATGAGCAACATCATGTTAAATGGAGAAAAGATTAATGTTGTAAAGGATTTTCTTTTACTTCTATCCACAATCAATATCCATGGAAGCAGCAGTCAAGAAATTAAATGATAGATTGCATTGGGCAAATCTGCTTGTGCAAATGAGCTCTTTAATGTGTTATAGAGCAGAGATGTCTCTTTGAAGGCCAAGGTGTACCTGACCCAAGCCATGGTAATTTCAATCATCTCAAAAGCATGGGAAAGCTGAACAATGAATAAGGGAGACAGAAGAAGAACTGACACATTTGAATTGTGTGGCTGGCAAAGAAGACTGAATAGACAATGGATTTCCAGAAGAATGAGCAAATCTGTCTTGGAAGAAGTACTGCCAGAATGCTTCTTAGAACCAAGGATGGTGAATTTCTTCTCTCATCGTTTGGTCATGTGATCAGGAGGGACCAGGGTCTGGAGAAGGACATGATGCTTGGTAAAGCGGAGGATCAGCAAACAAGAAGACCCTCAACAAGATGGTACGACACAGTGGCTGCAACAGTGGGCTCAAAAGAACAATAATTGTCAGGATGGCACAGACCTTGGCAGTATTTTGATCTGTTACACTTACGGTTACTAAGGGTCAGAACTGACTTGATGGCACCCAACAACCATGAGGTGAAACTCATTTAGTCTTTCTTCAACTCTATGAGAACAGCACCTAATGCCACAAGTTTACTGAGTACTTTCCACTGTGGCCACTCACCCACCCCCCGGCCAGAGCTCTGTGGATAGAAATATTCACAAACAGACTGGGTAGTCAGGGACTTACAGCCTTGTTAGGAAAGCTGATGGATAAATAGATCACTATAGAGTAAAACTAATGTGTGGGAGAGAAGCATAGACTATCTAGGGCCAAGACTGGAAAGTTGTCTGCTTCCTGATCTCTTATACCCCACAGTGAGGAATAAAATGCAACAAGAAATATTCTAATAGAAGTAACAACACATGAGCTGCCTCACAAGGGTCAAGGGACTAGGAAAGAAGACAGAACAGGGCATTTTTACAGAGGTACTGGACCATAGAGACAAAAGCAAGACGTTTGCTGTATACTGAAGATATCAGAACCTCCTGCCCAGTCACTGTGGGGTCAGGGAAACCATGGGAATGAGACAGCATTCCCTGCAGTGATTCCAGAGCACCCTGCTCTCCCACCAATCATTGTCCTTCCTCTTGGATATTAAGGTCTCCTCCCCTGCAGTGTGCAGGCTGAGCTTCTGCTCAAGGTGTCATTTTCCTTTATTCTATGGCCTTTGGGGCTTGCTTGAGCCTAGCGTGTGGATACAAAGAGGGCAAAGACTGGTTCCTCCTTTCTAGGAACTCACATTTCATCCAGGTAGAAAAGTAAAACAGAAGTAGGATTCAAGGTGATCATGCTCCAATGGAAGTATGAATATAATGCTGAAAAAACCTAGTGACTACTGCCTTGGGGAACTCATAAAGACTCAAAGAGTAAATGGCATTTTATTAAGTCTTGAAGGAAGCATAAGAAATGTGCACTTTAATCAGAACGAAAAGCATGAGATACACCTTAAAACTACATGTTGTGACTGAGATTGGTAAGGATGGGTATGAGTAGAGCTGAGAGTAAAGAGGGTGAAAATGCAATAAAAGGACGAAATGTCAGGCTGGAAGAGAATGTGAAGGTCTAGGTCAAATCATTTGGGCCTTAATGTATAGGACACACACAGGGATCCATTTAGAGCTTTAACGTGTGAGAGTGACATGTTGAGACTTGTGCTTTTCATAGTACATAAGAAGAAAAATCTTTGGCTAAACTTTTTGGCAGAGAGAGAGAGGGAAATACGGAAAATGAGCCACCTGCTCTCAGGCTTTCTTTCCTTGATTCCCTTAAGAAAGTGATGTGTGTTTGTCTACAAAAGTAGTGATGAAAAGTTGAAATATCAAAATAGCAGTTCTAATGTGGGACAACTTAATGAAGTGCTTGCATAAAGATGATTGCTATTGTTGTGAACTGATATGGAGTCAGCTCCAACTGACGGTGACCTTATGTTTAACAGAAAGAGATGCTGCCAGTCTTGCTCTGTCTCCATGGTTTTAGTGTCTTTGAGCCTGTTCTCAAGGCTATTGTGTCAATTCATCTTATTAAAGGTTTTCTCATTTTCACCGACCCTCAAAAGATGATACTCAATAAATATTTGTTGAATGAAGGGGGCTTATTCAGATAAAGTATTAGGTGGATAGCAAGCATGTCCATTCTTCTGTCCATCATTCTATCCATTTGTCCTTCAACCCATACTGCCTTCCATCCATCCATTCATCAAATTGTTGTTGTTGTTGTTATTATGTGCCATGCAGTCAGACCCGACTCATAGCAACTCCTCCTTGGGTTTCCGAGGCAGTATCACAATGGGAGTAGATTGCCCTATCTTCTTTCCAAGGAGTGGCTGGTGGGTTTGAACTGTCAGCCTTCTGGTTAGCAGTCAAGTGCCTTAGCCACTATGCTACCAGAGCTCTCATTCATCAGTTAATGTGTACTCTCTGTGTGCGTCTTCAGAAACACAATGTTCCAAGAGAATCTCACCTCTGTGTTTGCTATCTCCAGGAAAACGTGTTTGTGTGGGAGAGAGCCTGGCCCGCATGGAGCTGTTTTTATTCCTGACAAACATTTTACAGAAATTTACCTTGAAGCCTCTGATTGACCCAAAGGACATCGACATCACCCCAGTTAACAATGGGCTTGCTTCTGTGCCACCCCCCTATCAACTCTGCTTCATCCCTGTGTGAAGAAGGGAAGATCCTCCGATTGCCTCTGCACTGTCGTCTGCAAATCCCCTAAACTGGGGCATCGTTCACCTCCTTCCAAGTGCCAGGGATGCCTTTCTCTGAACTCTCTTCCACAGCTCCCTGTTCCTTCAAGATCTAGAGATAATCCAACATCCATTAAGGAGTTTCCTGAGTTCCACAGTATAAATTTACATCCTACATTCCACAGTCTGCAATAGTTGTGTTGGCCACCCTATGCCTTAATATTTATCCAACTAAATTTTTACTGTTATCAATATGAAGCAGAGCAATAATGATTAGTGTGCGCCAATTCAAATATATTTCTCCGATGTGCATGCTAAAGAAAAAAATTCTTTCGACTTTTCTTCTTTGGGACATAATGCAAGTAAAAAATGAAAGAAAAAAATGCTAAGTCTTCACAGTGGCTATGCTGGTCCTCATGATAAGCACAGAAAGGAACAAAGGAGGAGAAAATGGCTGAAAATCTCTTTGGACTGAGTGCCATCTAGGGTTATTCTAGGTTTGGATTTGAAAACAGAAGAAAATATGTCAAGAAGCAGCTCCAACCTGGTGGGGGGAATATCAAGAAGATCGGCAATGGGGAGGAATGAACATCCAGTGTGAGAATGCATGCCTCCACTTTGTTGTCACCAAGATCAATAAATAAAGATTTAAAATGTTTCTATTACTCCAACTTGGTTTAGGTATCAATATATGTTTTCATATTGGTGATCATGTACTCTCAGTAATACAACACCCTTTGAAGACATCACCAGATTTCATTCGTTTCCTGGTTCCTAGTACATTGTTATACACTTAATATAAGTGTGAAGGTGATTTGATGCTATGGCTCAAAGTCATTAGCCTCATGTCATCTCCAAAGTGTAGACAACATAACATCCTAAATACTTCAAATCATATCATCTTTTTCTTCCTTCTGTCTGAAGTGTATGAAATGAGAAGTGACATCACCCATTATGCTGCTACCAACTCATCTCCTGAAGGAAACTACTTACATTTTGCCATGCATTTTTAAAATAACATATCTGTTTGTAGACATATAATCTTTTTACATAAACGGGCACATAAGTATATATTTAGAAATAACATATATTATACACACACATATACATACTTATGGGATTAAAAGTAGTTCTTTATAATATTGAGCTTATGTTCTATATATTATTCTTCAACTTCCTGCAGTTCTACTGAGCCATTTGCCAGAAAAACTCCTAAGACACTAGAGACATGGGCAAGTGACACTAAAGGACAGATTACAGAAGAAGAAATGACAATGGCTACTACACATGAAAAGATCTTAAAAATTAAGAACCAATTGTAAGTTAAAACTGCATTGCATGCCTTTTAAACCTTCTTGGTTAGCACATGGAAATGTATTAATATAAGTGTTGGCAAAGGTGTGGGCAAAGAGGCAGTCTTTTAAATTGTTCTAATCTTTCCTCCTCGGTGAAGTCTACCCAAAGCATCATTGATACTTGTAATCTTCCCTCCATTACCACCTTCTGCATTCCTCAATTTCTGATTTCTTATTCACTATTTGCACACTTTGTTTGACATTATTTATTTTCCTCATTAAATTATGGGGTAAATATTATTTGAGTTAGTTTTCTCACACTACTTATCACACACTTAGTGGCTGAAAACAAGAGGAAAATTTTATCTTACAGTAATGGAAGTCAAATTTCCAAAATTATTCTCAGTGCACTATAGTCAGTGTCAATTTGTTTCCCTTCTTTTTCAGCTTCTTTAGGCTGCCTGCATTCCTTGCCTCATGACTTCTTCCTGTCACCTCTTCAGCCTTCCTTCTGTGGTCACAGCTCCTACTACTGAGTCCCATCCTCTTACCTCATGAAAGGATCCTAACTATATGACAGAAAAATTAAGTTAGAAATTGGTAACTGAAAGATTGCTGAAAATTCCTCAAGTGTTTGGAAGTTAAA